GCAGGGACAGGTATAAATCTTTGCTGTTGGACGGCGGCCGAGCGCCCGATGCGTAATTTCTTTCCTCCTTTGCCTTTTATAGGAGACTGTTACGGTCAATATACAAAAATACGAGGTAGGGATAAACGAACTTTCGCGATTAGATTCCTTTTTGGCCGAAAAACAAGGGAACGCAGCCGGTTAATTCCGCAAGAGGGAGGAGCATTTGCCCCCCTTGAAATCAGTAAAAAAATTGAGCATTTGCTTCTCCTTGCGAATTAACACTGGAATCTATTTGCAATTTTATATAAAATAAAAATATTTGGGTAATAAGATAATAAAAAATTGAGAAAGAGTGTAAGAATTAAATTTGCCCCCTTGAATTCAGTAAAAAATATTAAGCATTTGCTCTCCTTGCGAACATAAATACTGGAATTTATATGCAATTTTATTTAAAATAAAAATATTAAAATAACAAGATAATGAAAAAATTTGAGAAAGAGTAAATAAAAAAAAATGGTAATCACGCCCCTCCCTGGAAAAAATCCTGCGGACGTCCATATTCGCGTTATATCTAGTTCGATACGTCTTCGAGGTGCAATCTCGAGCCGCGCATTCCCGTTGAGGGCACATGCGAGAACGGGAACGAGTCTCGAGATTTTTGCGAGGACGCGAGAAACCGTGACACATTCCTAACCGCGATGCAAGAAGCTCCGTCGAGTTTCGGTCGCACGCCGGTGCATGCTGCATCATCATCGCGCAGTCGCGTGGGTGTAGGTAGATGAAACTGCGTTTATGTGCGCGCATACGCACATTTCATTTGTCCTTCGGTGAAAGGGACGAAAAAGGACGGCCGACCGTGAACAAAGAGATATGCGTATAAAGCGAGGCGGATTCTCGTCCGCCGTTTCGCGTTTCTCGACGCGCCGACACGAGAGAAGCGGAAGGTAGCGCGAAAGATATTGCAATTGTGTCTTGCAAATCTAGCTCTTACGTCGCGAAAGTATAAACGCTCTCGGTTTGTTCCGACGCGAGAAAATCGATGGCGAATTCTGGACAAGTCGCGAAACGTATTTGAGAAACGCGTCGAAGGCGCAGCCACTTTCATTAAGGTGCCTTTTCATACGCAGCAGCAAATCAGTCGCGTGATCAAAAATTTATTATTTCAAAGTTAAAATTACGATTTTTGCTTTTACATTCTCACATTAATCTATTTCATTTGTAAAATCCATGATTCAACTAATATAATAATATAATTCTTCTGCTTTGCTGTTCGTTCAATTAAACTTCACCGATAGCAATAGACCGCTGCGACAGTATGCTGCACATGAAATGTTATACCTTTAAGCGACTTTCACGCGTAATTAAAATTAGACATCGCGAATAAAATCGGGAGGACAGAACTCATATATCACGTACAAAGCGCGCGGGCGAAAAGGGAACAAGCGCCGATAGTAACAGGGCTGTAAACACGGTTGGTAATACGATGACACTGAGAAACACGAGAGACAAAGAGGAAGAAGGAGAGGGAGAGAGAATATCGGCCGTGACGTCGCCAACCATGTGAGAGCACCCTTAAGCGCGCGGCCCTCCTCCACCCGCGGCGCGCGAGAGCGCGTCGGGCTCGCGCACTTGACTGCCGTGCTCTAAGTGAGAGCGCCACGTGACGTCGCCGCGCTCGACCCCAGGCCGCCTGTGCTTCCGATAGCACGCGGGCCGATTGCACGGTGCGCCGCGATTGGCCACACCTTTTCGTGTCGGCCGCGCCGCTTCGGACGCGATGTAACGATAATATAACGACGACGACGACGACGACGACGCGGTTGTGACGGATGCAACAAAATGCATGCATGCATGCACGCTGGATCTTAGGCGCGAGGATGACCGACCCGGCAACGTCGCTGATCGGAAGAACCTATCCGCTTTTACTTCTTGCCCTTCCTCGACCAGAGATTCTTCTACTTTTCGCGCATTTCAGAGAGACCATAGATATATGGAGATGCACGCGAATGCATCGTAACAACTGCATATGTGTGTACAAGGGCGTCCGCGCAGAGGGAGCAAAAGAGGGCATTTGGCTCCTTTTGAGTAGACACTCAAATTTATTCGCATATATTTAATATAAAAAAGATGAAAGAAACAACCCATATGTCTGCTAGAGTAGTTCCGTACACATTTAACTCTCATCGATCCCGCGTGATTCCATTTCTGGGACAACCAAGTATTATTATTATTTTTATTATTATTATTATTGAAATCCCGTTCCCGATGCGATACGTATGATTTAGAAATAAGAGCCAATCGCGATTGTGCCTGGCGTTCCAAAAATGGAGATACGGAGACGGGTGTGTACACCATCGCGTATTTAATAATACCGCTAAAGCGTATACAGATGATGATATTCGCTCGTCGATACTTCTTTGTCGACGTTACGTCATCGTGAGACGCGAATACTCAACGTCTGAATAAATGCAAGCGCGATCGATATAGGCGGATCGTTGTAAATATTGCATTATTCCGCGGAGCAAGTTTCTACACCGAGCACGTAATGTATCCCCTCTGTGCAGGATATTTTTCCAAGTAGTTTCGAAGGAGAAGTAATTTCGAACGAGCGAAAGCTCTCTACACGTTCGATATCGACAAGATTTTTTTCCCCCTTTTAATTCTACCGCGTTAAATCGATATACAAGATTACGATTACGACTGTGTACGGGACGAGTCTTCCCTCCGCGTTTGTATTACAGCTTGTATTCACTTGGGACACTCTGTATACGTGATGTCGTAATTTGCCAAAAATAGAGTCGACGTGTACACAAACGAGTCGTCACTTCGGGAGAAAAGAATTAGACTCGTATAATGTGCGATCGATTCCTCGCGAGCAGAGACTGTATATTGTTGTAAATTAATTTCAACCATGGAATGTTTAAATTTAAATCAACGATATCATGGAATAATGCAAACATTGTATATACGAGCAAGAACATCGATAAATCATTATTTCACTCGAACAATTGAATTTTTTAAAGAATTTATTTTTGGACATTTTTGTACACATAAATATACTTAAAACCGTGCAACTAAATAATTAAATATAAATGAAAGCGTACACGGCTGATGATATCGAAATGAATAATCGAAATGATTTCGAAAATTCAATTGTTTGAATAAAAGAATTGTTTTTATCAACGCCGTCGCGTTTTGACTCGTATCGATCTTATCAATCCACATTTACGTTGTTTTCGAATCTAAGTATGGGAGATTGCAAATTTGATTACTTTGCGTCGACACCTTTTTCGGAGAGAGTTTATCGTTGCGTCGTTGTTCGAGAAGCGAATTATTTTTAATCATTATCAAAGATAATATATACACGTTTTCCCGCTTTCGGTTCATTCTATATATAACAGATGAGCATTTATCTGCCGCATAATTTTTCGATAAACGATGAAAGCGTCTTACAATTTCTTTCATTTTAATTAATTTCTTTTTAATTTAATTTAATTAATCTCCTTTTTTTAAGAAGAAAGAAAGAGCGGAGCAATCACGTTGCGGCAACATGTGTGACAATTTAAACGGTTTCATCATAAGAACGTCGAGATAAGACTCGGTACGTTGTCTACCCCGCGAATAAACGCGCGACAAAGCGATAAAGAAGAAAATTTGCGGACGAAATCTAAAGCGCCAACATGCGACAACTACTGCACAATCACGTGCGTCAGCTAATTACTCGTTTCAGCCGAGTTCGAAGTCGATAAGACGATAGTATGTCAATAGAGTGAGCGAAAATCTACGTCGCTTAGCGGATGATCTGTCATCGCAAGCAGTCTTGTGCTTAAATGATTTGAAAATTAGCTAGCTAGAAGCGAGATAAAATTATATATTGATTCATCTAGATAATTTTATAGATAATAATGTTTAAGACTGCTTATTAACACAGTTATATAAAAAAATGTAAATTATAAAAAGGATATAAAAATATTGTCTTCATATTTTTATTTATACATTTTTATCGCTTACTGCTCAAGTTCTACTATTACTATTTAAGTATTTTTATGTGCTATGATTCTAAATTAAAAAATATCTGAAAATTATATTCTAGATAATTTAATAGAGATAATACTTTTTTCATCCAAGATGCAGACATAGATAATACTTACTTTTATTATCTATATAAAGATAAAATGGCGCAAAAGTTTCTAGATGATCATCTATATAATTTTATTTAGGTAACAGCAAACACTGATCGCAAGATGCTTTCATTGAAAAAAAAAAAAGAAAAAAAAATGCTCGTCGAAAAATCGTGCGGTAAAAATATGCTCATTGCAAAATAGGATAATCGAAGATAATCATCGTGAAAAAAAAAAAAAAAAAAAAAGATTAAAATTGCAAAAAACTCTTAAAGGAAGTGACTGACGTTAAAAAATTCGCGACATGAAAAAATGACAAAGTTAAAATAGACGAAACGATAAGAAGGATAACGATCAAACACGTGTCACAATAATCAGTGACAGTGGTTTTTGTCTCGGAACAATAGTCTTTCGCGCGTGATGTGTCATCAAATTCATGATGGCCGAGCTTTTTCAAGCTCTCGAATCATAAATCGAGACAAGATTCTCAAGATACGATGATTGTCGAAACAAGATACTGATCTAGAAAATTGATCAAATAAAAAAAAAGCACGAGTAGTCAAGCGGTTCAATATTAGTCCATTTTCTACGTCACCCAGCATCCATCTCGCAATTTTTTCGCGGTGCATTTTTCTCAAAGTTATTTCTAGTCATCTTTTTTTCAAGTAAATTTCTCATAAATAACGCATAATTAGTAATTAAATTAATATAATAGTCATCTGTGTGTGTGTGTGTAGGGAGCAGGTTTTCGCCTCGCTGTTTTGTGATATCGACTCTTTTTGCGGTAGAGACGACAGACGACGAAAGGAAAAAATATTTTTGTCCGGGAGGGAATAAAAGAATAGAAAAGAGAGAGAAAAAAGAAAGAACGCGTGCGCGTCTATATAGACAGCTCACCCTCGCTCCGAGAAAGCGGGCCTCCAATAACTCCTGCTTCCTTGGGTCCAGGGTGGCCTGAAAGTGCTCCATCTTGACGCCAGCGCCTGGAACAACAAGTCACAGCGAATTACACTCCGACCTTTTGCCCGTGGCGTTGGTGGAAAAACACGGAGGAGTCCACCGATAAGAATTGGAGAAAGATATCCGAGATGCTGATCGATTCGAAATTGATACGATGTTAGAATAAAGAGGAAAAGCGAGAAAATCGAGATGGAGATTAAGCAAGAATCGATCGCGCGAAAAAAAAGAAAGAAAAACCGGAAAGGGAAATCGGAATATCACGGAAGCTTTCCCAGAGTATGCTTGGTAGCCGATATTAAATATCGGGTGGCGCTATTATATACAGACATATATAATATGCCGTGCAATTGCAGGAAGTATCGCGATTTTTATTATTATCGTCTCTTCGCTCGAGATCGGAGAGGAAAAAAATTGCCAGAGAATTTCTCAAAGAGAGGAACATCTTAATCACGGTGTTTTCGTTCCTTCTTCGGTTTATATCGCGAAAGGGGATTATCTATATCTCTGTTGCGCGTCCCAACAGAGGAAGATTAATCCGTTCCTGATGTTCGATGTTACGAATTCGAAATCCTCCTAAATGCTATACGGGAAATTCGCGGATAGGGAATTATCTTCCGTCACCTTTGGAGCCATAATTACCCACCCGCGTTTCGACTACTGCGACATTACTGGTATATATAAAGCCTCATACCGATGATTACCGCGCGCGCAATAAACTGGACATCCCACGGCTCGTAAACGGCGCAATCCGAGTGCTATAATTAGCGTTGCGGGGCCACGTTATGCTGGCCATTATCTATTTCGATCAAACGGATTGGATTTAACTTGCTGCCGGCCCTCTCCGCGAATAAACCACGCGCCATTGTGCGATCTAGAGCCTCCGTCTCGTAAGATTCATCGACTCGACGCGCATATAAATATAGTATATATCATTCGCTCTCTTTTATCCGAGAAAAGATATTTCTCCTCGGGGGATTCAATTAACCTTTTCGTCCTCATTTTTTCCCGAACGACATATGTAGTTTCTTCTCGGAAAAATCACTGATTTGCTATATATTTACGTCCGAAATTTTGAAGCAATGAATGGTACAATTCTTTCAATGTAAACTCGCAGGATGCTCGCCCGCATGGAAGGAAAAATAGAAAAAATGCATATATACATATTGCGCGCGGCTCCAAGCTTCCATCGGTCTCATTTTTAACAGAGACTTTGTTATCAACGCGCATGTACACGATCGAATGAGTCGCACTGCTCCGCCGTTACTTTCGAGAATCACTGCAATCCGTTAAAGACATTATACACGTTCACGACGCGTGACCGGCCGTTGCGGCGTTATATGTATACCCAACCACGTTCTTTTATACACCGACGGTTATCGATCTTTCCGTTCCGCGGATGGGATCCGCGAGAATATTCGCGGCTCTCGGAGTCGAATTGAGAAAGTGAGAGACCGGGGAAAATTCGCGGCCTGCTGGGACGGACAATTAAAAAAGCCGGAGATCGCGCGAAAAAATAAGAAAAAAAAAGGAAGGAAAGGAAAAAGAACAAAGATGCAACGAGCGCGTCTCTGCTTAATAAATCCGAGCGGGTGAAGGCGCGCGCGAGTGCAGTAGCGCAGTCATTGAACTCGTCGTCGGCCACAATTTTCATGTAAAACGAGGGCAAGGCTATTTTATTCGTAGTGTGCCTGCGCCTGGGATAGAGGCGAATGGACTCGCCGTAAGAAGATAGATGCGGTTCGTCGAGGCGCGAGTTTAATTGTGCAACTCTCAAAACAATGCACTTTTACGACATAGCGTGTAAGTGGCCGCCGCCGACTCGCATGTATCTCGGATAGTTGAAGGATCTCATCGCGAAACAAATTTTTATTCGACATTCCTCGCAAAAAAAAAAACTCCCTTCTCGATCGATCCGAAAATTGCAATTTTTTTACCAAGCGTCGTGCGGGTGTCCGCGGGATTTTTCCAGATAGAGGGGATTAAACATTTTTTGATTTCCTATTTTTTGTTTTAAATTTTTTCAATTATTAAATACGCAAATAAATTTCGCAGTGTTCATGCAAAAGGAGAGCAAATGCTTCATTTTTTGACCGATGCCAAGGGGAGCGAATGGACGCCCATTTTTTTTTTGTTTTTCGATTCTTACGTGGCGCCGATGTTACGTCGAAGAAGAAGTGTCACGACGAGCGCAGCTGGAATTTCATTCGTTCTACAAAAGGCGCGGAGAAAGCGAGGAGCGCGCTAGCAACAATGTAAAGACGCGCGTTGCTCAGGATATTTCGCGGGCGGGCGAGTTTACACGGACACATCGAGGAATTACATTACGTTACATTACACATGCTTGCGCGCGCGCGCGCGCAGTCCGTCAATCGTCGTCGTCGCTGCATCTGTGCAGCTTCTGAAAAAGTATGTCATCGAATATACTTGGATCTCTGTCAAGCGAGATGCTGGTATCGAGAAAACATCCATATTTCGCGACGGGGTATGTCGGGGACTTGTATAAGAGAACGCGATAGCGAATATATTACGCCGGCTGCCAGAAGGGAGCGACTTTATCGTCGCTTTTATCACGACTAGCAGTATTTATAGAAATATGACTAATTAGACGTGACTTTGTAAGAATCTAATATATATTTTAACGTTCGTTTGATCGCATATGCATATATATTTTTCTCGCGATGAAAAAAACGTCGCATTTCGTCGAAGATCAATGAGAGTGCAACTTTTACGTAAAAGATGCAAGATGCAAAAAAATTAAGCGCGTTGCGCAATAATTTCCGCTTTCCTATAAGTTCCTGTAAAGAAAAAAAAAACCGGTACTTTATTTCCGGGGTACACAAAGTACTTTTTCTCGGCGTATCGATACTTCCGCATTTTCGCGATAAAACCGAAAGCTATTAATCAATTGCATTAATTGTTTAACGTAATATTATCGGAAAGAGAGAGAGTTCAGAGTTCCCGCGAGGTTTATAGACTTAGTGGGGCTCTTATTCCGCAGAAAGTTCCTTCCGCAGGACTTTGCGCTACGAGATAAAATGATAAACTTGTGACAAACTCGTCGAATTTGTGTGTCACGAATTGTAATCTTATAACAAACTTATATTTATTACGTGGAATAAAACATGGCCAAAATATACTGAGACCTTTGATATTATATCTCAGTGAATGAAAAGATCGGTAAACCACGAGGATTTACTAAACTACGTTTAACACAAATGAGCTGATTAAAATTAAAAATAAACGAGGAATCTTTGAATAAAATTTTTTCACGGTCCATGTAAAACTATTCGTAAAAACTTGTGTACGTGTGCTTAACCTTCGTAACAGAAAAAGATTTCAAAATTGTATTCTTCCCTGATATTTATGCGAAAGAGAAATATTCTCAAGGCTATTTACGCACATTTTCACGTGCAGGTAGATGGATATATAAAAGTTCGCAGCGGTATGTATTTATATACGCTTTACGTACAAAGATAAGTTTTTGCCGCAAAGTTTTAGCATTAATATCTCGTAAACTCATTTACGAGATCATCTACATCTCGTAATAAGAGCGATCGATCTGTCGACGAGTGTCGCCCGATTTATTATCGCGTTTTATTCTTAATCATCGCAAGACTGAAATAACGTCAGTATTTTCATGCATCAGAATGAAAATTGTCAGAAGACTCCCAAAATTATCGATTCGCGTGACATCTGTCACTCTCAATCGCTCAGATTACATTATCTATATAATAAATATATTTTTTATTTATATATAAATATATATACATGGGCATCCGCAGAGAGGGGGCGCAAAAAAATTAAGCATTTGCTCTCCTTTGAATAAACACTAAAATTTATTTGCATATGTAATATAAAAAAAAAAAAAATTGAAATTAAGGAAGAACAAAAATGACGAAACAAAAACATGAATTATGCTCTCTTCTGGAACAAAATCCTACGGACACCCACGGATATATACACATACATTAATTTGATATCGTCTGTCTACGTGCCGCGGACACGTTCCGTTTGTTAATTTTTGGTTCGGCTGAGAAAAATAAAAATGATTGACGTGATTACTCACCACCACCAGAGTTCCAGCAATTATCAGTCATCCCTGTTTATCCATCTGCTTTGTTGGCACTACATTATAATAATCACACTGATCCAGCAACTCGGTCGAATGTCTCGCGACGCGGTGGTCCTTGACGGCGACGTTACGCACACCGGATACACTTTTCATGAGCCCCAGAGTGCCGCCCGACAAAACTCTCAGCTCCGCCGCATCGCTTTACACCAATGAGAGCACCTGTCTCATTATTGATCTCACACTACACACTCTCTCTCGATCGCGATGTACCGGGTGGGCCGCACCGCGGTAGCATCCGCGCAATTTTTCGCACTCTCGACTTCCGGGGAGGCTTCCAAGTTCTCTCTCTCTCTTTTTTCCCTGCAACTACCCGATGTCACCCACGCGTCTACAAAACCGTCGAAAGCGTGTTAACCCACTTCTTTCATGACAAAACTAATAATAATTAATTAAGAATTTGTTCTACATTTCGATTAGCCCCCTTAGGATTCTTTCGTTCTCCGGTCTTGGAGCTCAAAAATGGAGAATACGAGATAGATTGACGTTAGATGTTATATATCGGAATAAAAATCAAGAGAGCAGCTGAAACGAATCAATCGATCTTGAAATTTAGTCCCGTCACGTAAAAGCTTTGTTTACTCGAATTCATTACAACGGACGCGATTCAAAGTAACGACCAACGCGTCTGAGAATGCATGAACGCGCGATTACAAAGCACAATGAAACCCGGGAGAAAATGGTCAGTAATGATCAACATGGATCGGTGCGCGCGCCAGCCTCCTCGGGAATCTTTTTTTTCATCTATGTAGGTTTTCGAATGCGTTCAAACGCTGAATTGAAATTTCTCTCGGGGGAATAATTTCTCCGTCTGCTCGTTTGGCGTGTAACGTCGGAAGGAAAGCCGCGAGATGGGAAAACTAATGCAAGTATAACAGCAACGCGCATAATGGCGGCATGCCTAATAAATCCGAACGCAAAATTCGAGCGATTGAAAAATATAACGCGCGACGTTGCGCTTTACTTTGTTTCCCGACGTTTGTTGCGATTTTTTCTCCTTCCGCGGGCACGCGATTGTTTCGTTAGAAAGTAAAAAAAGTGCGATCGAAAAACAGACGGTGTACTTTGCCGACGATTACTCGAATGAATCCTAAGGAGAGCTCGCCGAGACGAGGTTAGATGCCGACATAAATCAAAGATGCCGGCTTCGACAGCTGTACGGATTTAAGCCCGAATCGCACGACGAATGCACGTGATTATTTAATCGATTCTCGAGTGGAATGTTCAAAAATAAGGCGGCGAATGAAGCGCGAGAAACGAAAACAGGTGAAAAGATGTCGATTAATAAAGCGACTAACCTTACGATCGCATGAAAATCTTCGGTTTCTATCTACCAATCCTACCAATTAAAGATACGTGTATAGGATTTCAACAACTGCTGACAACTATGTAACTGGAATGTCCCGCGAAGTGTATATATCTTGGCGTAAATCTAGTATCTATTACTTTCTTACGGTTCGTGGCCCTTATTGGCCCTGATATCGGCGCGTCGACAAAATTACAGCGCAACAATACCGACCGCGTAGGTGCCGCTTTGGTCTCTCAAAGAGAGCAAATTGATCGAGAGACAACGAAGCGCACAGTTGGCATAACCGGCCTCGGAATCGCCGAATTACGTACATACCGCGTCGCGCGATTCGGCTGGAATTCAATCGCGAATCGAGAGGGAAAAAAAAATGCCAAAAAAAAAAAAAAAAAAAAAAAACTCGGTTCGGTAGACGCGCGAGGCGACAAGGCGATGGCTCGGATCTCCTTCCTCCGGCCGCCTCCCAGTCTCCTCCTCGCGACGTCCAGCCGGAGACTTGGAGGTTACACACGACGAATAATCGATTCATTCGCTGACAACGCACTCCCGAGACAGACGGGGGTCTCGGGAGCGCGACTCACTTCTTTTTTCTTCTTCTTCTTCCTTCTTCTCCTCTTTCTTCGCTCGCGAAAACGACGCGATTACGAACGAACGCGCGGTAATCGGTCGACTCTCCGCACCGCTTCCGTTTTCTCCGTCTTCCGCTCTGGTTCGCTTCACCGGTGTGTCCTCTCTCTCTCTCTCTCTCTCTTTCTCGCACGCGCGAAAGAACGCAAACGTACTTCTTAATACGTTTCTGCTTTTCTCTCTCTCTCTCTCTCTCGCGCGCGCGGATAGTTTCTCTCCTTCTCACGAGCGAAAACTGGTTGTGTTAGCGGCGACACGCGCTCGTGAAATTTCGTGACTCCGCCAAACAGCACGCGCCGTTCACCGCATCTCTCGTTGCATGATAAAACGCGTATGTAATATCTTCTTCCTACTCTCGCGCGCTCTCTCTCTCTCTCTCTCTCTCTCTCTCTCTCTCTCTCTGTCTGTCTATCAATCGGTCTCTTACGATCTCTCTCGCTCCCTCTGGCTTCTCTCTCTCACGACATAGCGCGCTCGGTTTATCGGAAGAAAGAAGGAAAAACTCATCTGGAAGATGGCCGCCGCCCGCCAGTCACCGATTTATCCCTCTCTCTCATGGCGCACTTCTCTTTCGCGAAGAGAGCCAGCCGGGGCTCCGCCGACCGCGATGCACGATGCACTCTCGGATGCCGTTAACTGCCGACGACACTCGACGATTCACGAAATGGGGAGAGAGAGAGAGAGAGAGATTCTCGGCGATCGGACAACACGACGGGCGCGACCGACTCCTACGACGAAGACGTAGACGAAGACGAACGATGACACGACGAGACGAGCGAGAGACCCCCAACGAGACACCGGTAACGCGGCCACGCTCTCGCCCGACAGTACTCGTACTAAAAAGCTCACCTCGTAGGAACCGTAACGCACTCTCCTCTCGACGTACACAGAAGCGCGCACACACAGAGAAGGGGGCACTCGCGACACACACGCGAGCGCGCGCGCGCACGCGGCCTCGTACGTGACACACTGCACCGAACGGAATCGCTCCGATTGCCTAGGAGACGATGCGGTGCTTCCGCGCGGCGGATGCGACGCGAGACTTTTAAAAACGAGCGAGACGCGCGGCTAACTTCGCGTCTCTCGCTTGCCGAGTGCCGTATCGGTCCCTCTTTCTTTCCCTCGTTCTCGCTCACCTCTCGCGATTAAGACACCTCCACCCTTTCTGAGGAGGGAGTAAACGCGACCGGATACTTTTCTCGCCAATTTTTTAACGACGACGACAACAGTGACGTAGCCAGTCGCACACCATGGCGTTCGCACGACGTCTCTCTCTCTCTCTCTCTCTCGGTCTCGCTCCCGAGCGGCACCTTACGGCGCTTCGGCTATTATCGGTGAGCTACGATGTTTATTCGGCGGCGCATCGGCCGACCAGTCACGGCTCGCGGCGAGATCATCCCCGGTTCTCGCTTTCGTTTCCCTATACTAGCTCTCGTATCGTCCCGTACCGTCCGTCACCCCGTTCCCCTCTAAGCGAGATTTTAAGGGTGCGTTCACAGTCGCGAGCGAGTTACTTGAAGTATAATATATAACAGTCATGCATACAAAATATAAATGTATAAAAGCACGTGTACGCTGATATGTCAAATTATCGAACTGTCAAAAACACGTGACACGTGTCGGTTGATAAATATAACAAATATAATACAATTCGTATCTGTTGTTATATATAAAAAACTACGTGACACATTCAGAATTGGATATATTATTTCTTAACATTTTTGACAGATGGTTCTACGATTATACAATAGAGTTACAGTACGCTATAAGATGTTTCTGTTGACGATGCTTTATCCTCTTTACATCTTGACAAGCTGTACAAAAACTCGTGTATTATAAATATAAAAAACATATTCAATTATCCAACAGGGACGTGGCCTTAAATAACTTCCTCTCGCGATAATGTAACATCTATAAGCTGTGCAAACATCGTCGAATCATTTCATTATTCTGTTCCTTTTTTTGTTTCGATAAGTTTCAAGAGTTAAATAGCATTTACATTTTAGTTGTACATATAGAACACATTTTACATTTGTCATTTTATAAAGAGAAAAAGTCTTGAGAACTGTAAACAAATATTGAAAATAAGATTACGTTAGCGATCTTGTGACAGCTAATAAAAAAGAATGTTTTGTAATAAATAAAAAAAAATATATATATATGTACATAATGTGCGTATTATAAATTCTATAATATAATCCTAAATAAAAATATCTATGTACATTTTTCGTAATAAATATTGTAACAAACTGTCCATTCAAATATATAATAATGTTATGAAAAAATTCAGTTTTTAAAAGAAAGGAAAACTCATTGTATAAAGTTAAACGTTTTTAATACGCATTCTGTTGACTAGCTTGGTCGGTTTTCCACCTAAATTTTTATCGCCATTTAAATTGCAAAATACATTTCGCTCATACATCGATTCTTTACCTAAAAATGTATACCGTCCACATTTGGCACACTATATTTCTATAAATAAACATACTACAATGCATGTATAAAATGTTGAATTAAAAAAATAGGTATATAACATTCCAGTCCTAAATTATAACAACTAAAAAAAGAGAGAGAGAAAGAGAATATCACAAAGATGTACTTAAAATAACTTAAACTAGATTATGACATGTGAACTGTTTATTCGAAAAAAATATTTGTTATATTCTCAAATATATTTAAATAATATAAAATATCTATTCTTAATTGGATATGTAATCATTTTCAAAATAAACAGCTCATATAATTGTTACATATCGCTTTTTATTAAATAATGGCTAACAGATCGAAATCTCGTACGATTCTGTAATGATTATAATTAATATATTAAATTTGTAAAATTATATTTACGGAATTGAAAATATATACATATATATTTTCTAATTCTAAATTTTATATATATATATTTATATATAAATTATCATTTATAACAAAAGCTTTGTGTTCATTTGGCGCCAAATGTGGCCGTTCGATTTGGAAATTTATATAACACAAAAGTAGTGTAAAAATAGAGTTAAGTATCATGCTCCAAAAAGGAGCGAATAAATTAATATCATTACATGAATTGTTACAAACATGGTGTTTTTTTATATATCTCTACGAATATTGTAACGAAGAAAAGGATGTCTCACCTTAATCGGATACGTATATTATCGCAACTGACTACGCTAGTAGCGCTATAAATGCTCTATACGTGCTCTAAGCTTAATTAAAACGTAATTCTGCTACGACTAAAACGGCAGCTCTCTTCGTTCCACGAATGATCGTCCACGATCTTCGTAAAGTTAACAATTTATTCCGATGAATACAGAGGATACAGATTCAATTTTAACAACTATCCATCCGGTTTGAATCTATCGAATCGTAGATATCGTCATGTCGTACACGAAACTAATACGTACGGTGTAATAATCTCGACAATAAATGGAGGTAGCAATATTGTCAATAACAGGATTAGCCCTAGTGAAATGAATTATGAAACAATGTACAATGTTTACGTTTATGTCGGATACTGCTTGTGTTCTAGTTCCAAACTTTCCATACCTTCTACGTATATATAATCCACATTATTCGCGACAATACAAAATATTGAAACCCTGTAAATGGAAATGATTTGTTATGATCGACAATCTGTGATTTGGCATGTCAAATATATGTGCCAAACATTTCTTCCTAGTGTTTCTTTATACTTTTCCTGGAGATTATTATTATACTCCTCTTATCTGAGTAATAAACTAAATAACACAGTTTAAAATAATATGCAAACCGTGGAAAAAATCACTACAATAATAATCGAGATGTACACATAAGTATAACGCTATTTTCTATGTACAAAGAATACAGGTACTTCTTAAGCGAGAGTATTTCTATATGTATAAACGCCAAACGATAATATTTCCAAATACACGATTGCTCTTGTCGAGAGCGGGCAAGATTCATGATCGATACATTCTGTAAAAAAAAATGCTTTCTTCATTACCAGTTTAAAGAATTACAATTAATTAAGAGATTTATATAGCATTGCTTAATTATGCAATGTTGAAAACTATTATAACGATTGTATCGTTTGTGCAATAAAACTATATCACATATTTTATAGACATATAAATCATATGGAAATTATATAAAAGTATCGAGAAAAAAAAATTACAAAACTTTACTACTCGAGCAAGATATTTCAGCTTGTAATTTGCTTTAATATTTGCCCACACAGCAGCTTATAGATCTAAAGAATCTCTCCCCATAAAGTTGCATATCACATTAATAAAGTCTGTTGTACATATACGGTTTTTAGTCTCTCTTACTTCTCGCTAAAACTGAGATCCTTTAAAAATCCAATCATTTAACAAGCATATCCTAGGTAGGTCTTGCAAGAAACTCTTAGTTTCAGTTTTACGTATCTTTACGTTATGAATTATGCTTTTCACGGATGCCCTATACATTTTTAATTTCGTTTATGTGTGTGGTTCTTGTCAATATATATTTTATATTAATCAAAATCTACGGCAATATCCGTGTTATTAGTAGAGACATTGGCGGAGACATTCATTTCTTCGTCTTCGATAGACTCTTTGTCCGTGGTGTTGGGCACTGTGTGATGGTTGTTTGCCGTTTGATTGTCGATCTTTGCTTCATCGACCGGCTGAACTGTCGTTAGCGTGCTCCACCAGTTCGAGAATGCCCCTTTTGCTTGCGATAGCGCTCCCCCTTTGTAAATTATTAGTTTCAAAAGTAATATTACGCACGATTTCAACCGCATTAGATTAATTTAAACGGATGCTCTGACAATATTCACGATTAAAAGATTTCAATACAATAATTAAATAAATTTAAACAAGAGAAAAATACAAAAGTTATACTTTTGATATTGCTTTTCTCTTTAAACAAATATTAATGTATTATTTTTTCAACGTACGAGAAAAAAAATTGGATGTAAATGCATGTGTATATATTTAAATGCATAACGCATATATATATATATATATTAAATGCTCTCTCTATATTATTTTTTTAACCAACTTGTATTTAATTTGTGCAATCTTACCTACGGCTTTTCCGGTAGTCGCCACTGCACGTCCAGTCGATGCCATTGCTTGATTCAACTTTCTTCCACTTTCTGTATTTTGCATCGTACTGCAAAATGAATATATACATATATAAAATAGATTTATATTTTCCATATCTTACAATTTAATTAGAAATAAAATAATAAAGCATGCATTGCAAATTGAAAATTGTCATATTTTATATAGGAAGATTTTGCTACTTACTGTGACAAGCGTAATTTCATATCTTGCACTGACAGCTGACCAGCAAATGGATGACCAGGCTCGATATTAAGTATCTCCGATTTACTTGCGTTGCACCACGCTTTATAGTTGTTCGTCGCACGCCACGCGGATACAAATGCTGCGTTATAATGATCCGACTGACGGGTGTCCTGCTGCATACAGGTACGCAGCATACTCAACAGGTACACTCGAAACTGCGTTCTGATCCACTCGTCGCCACCCTCCCATCCTACTCCATCCAGAAAGATATCCTTCCGAGGTTCGGCCACGTGCCTCACAACATAATCTGCGAATCTTAAGTCCTCTGTAGTAAGATGCAACTGTCGTCTCAGTTCGGGATCGGTTGCCTCTATCCGCGTATTTTCAACCTTTAAATAACACAAAAAGTCAAATCGTTTTATATTAAATTTCGATTAAAAAATATAAATTTTCAATATTATTCTTCTACGCTTACTTCAACTAGCACGTCAATAAGCTGTTTCTTTTGTTTAAACAACACATTTGTAGCACCCACTATATATCCTCTAACATTCACATCTCCCAAGAGATCCAAATAGGGTAAAGAGAGATAGGGCAAGCAGAGGTATCCCTAGAAGTATATTTTTTTTATACAATATGCAAAATACTTTCTTATATATATATATATATATATGAGATGTAATAAGCATTATTACCTTTGTAAATAACTCCAAAGGTAGGCCGCACAATTCAGGATTAATATGCGCGATTTGTGTAATGTTATTCGTCAATCTCGCATCGGAGAGCGCATCGTTACTCGTATCGCGCGGTAAACTATTATCCGTATCGCCCGTATTCAGCGTGATTGCGTTTACACTATGCACTCTATGTACGTTTTCGTTCGATTGTGGCGAATATTTGGAGTTGCTTTCCTCCAGATATTCCGTGCATTCTTGCGCCGACTCAATCTCGATGACTTTCATATTAATATTTTCATTGTCATTGTTATTTTTCTGCAGAGTTGCATGTTGCAGTCCATCCAAGCACTTGCCCTCCATGGACTCGATAGTCTTGTTATCGTTGATGCACAAGGAGTTTCTATTACTATTATCATTACACTGCTCATGATTTGCCTTAGATATATTATCTTTAACAATACAGCTGGATGACAAATTGGAATCGACATTGTTCATCGAGATTTCTTCTTCGTCAAAAGTTGGGATTGGAGACATTGGCCTAGATGGTCTGAAAAGATAAAGAATTAATCAATCAATTGATCAATTTTGAGATTTTTTTTATTATTGAACTGTCTCTGTAATACCTGACACATGCTGCTTGTTGAAGACCATGCTCGATCATACCAGGATACAATGACAATAGAGTCAATATAGTAGCGCACAATGGCTGTACAGGTGATTGATAAAAAACTATCCTTTTCTCAAGCAAGAGTAATTTAAATAAGAGCAATACTTTATGACGAAATTGCAGTATAAAATCTCTTGCAGACAAACCTATAAATAAATTAAATATCATATGTAGTGTAAATTATAATTCTAAATTATATATAATTTCAATTAAAAATTTGTTTATAGATAATTACCGACAAAAATTTGTGGCGGAATCTGACTGTCGCTACTCATACATGAATTAAGATGATGATAAGTATCCTCTAATAAGGACACTTTACTAAAATCTCCTTCATCAAAATATGCATGTGTTATTAGAGCCATTTTTACTTGAATGTGCCCATACAAAGGTAAAGTACTCAGCACGCATACTGATTTTTGAACAGTGCCTCTTGTTATATCTGAAGTACGATTTTTTAATTTCTGTAAACATAGTAAAAAGAGAATCTCAACTTGATAATCAGTTAAAATAAAAATTGAATTAGTTTTAGCACGCAAGATACACTTTACATACCTCTACAGGTATTTGTCGAAAACACGAAATGCCATATATCGTACGTTTTGGATCATTAAGACTAGGTAAATGGAAATAGACTGTGTCCTCGTCGTAGTTGTGAGAACCATCGGGCAGGGCAAGCGTAGGCAGGTACTTCCATCCTAAGGGACATTCGTTAGGCGCACCAGGTACCAAAGGTGGAAACGAGTATTCTACCTGAGAAGTGACGTTACGTTAGCGCGAGGAGATGTGATTGAAAGGCAGAAACGAATGCAGAACTGGGAGACAGGTTAATCGACAGATTTTTTTACCTGACAGCCTTTTTTGTGATGAAACCCGACGACGATGACATGAAGAATCGGCCCGTTCGATTCCGCCATCCTTATTTCGCCTTCGATTGAAAACAACGCCACGGTACTTCCGAGTCCCAGATACTTCTTTCCACGAACAATTCGCCGATTTCACATTTCAGAACTGCAAAAAATATTTTTCTCGACAGAGACGAGCCGATGGAGCGGCAGACACGCGCGATTTGACATGCGCCAAACGTATACATACACACACACATATATATAGATATATCGTTATCGCATAGCGGAACGGTTACCAACATAAGCGATATAAATTAAATGTTTGATATACTTATCAAAGAAAATAGACGTCTATATTCTTTGATTTATTATACAGATTTTGGATATGTATTTGACGCATTATATTACATATCATATATCTATGTTTGCTTAGTATATATATATATATATATATAAATGTCTGTGATCTGTTACCCCACCAATGGCGCGTACAGTCACGGTGTAGAAATATTATAGATGCGGCGCAACTACGCGACAGTCACGATATCACAGATTAAGGGTCGACAGGTCGGTCAGCCAAACTCCGAATTGATGTTGGAGACCTCGCGCGGTGACAACGCGAAACTCCGATTTCAGTGTTGCCAACGCCGAGAAACCAATTCTCAGGTTTTATGTAGTGGTGCATGTCTGTACACGTACATACACCATTGCATTGCTCACGCGAACGCACCGTAGAGAGACAAGGACCGATAATCACGTGTTCTCCTTGTTCCTCTACCGTGCCGGTATACGCGAGATGCCGCCTGAAAATGGCCTTCCGTAGCAGAAGGCAGTAGCGTAGCAAGTACCTACTTTTTGTAAATTTTATATATGCTTATGCACATATGTGCGTATATATATATATATATATATATATATATATATATATATACATATATATGTATATATATTATATAAGGAATATGTTGATTATTCTTGATTTCTTTTTGATTATTGATGCTATTGTATAATTTGCTCCAAATACTTATAACGTGAAAGAACGTTGAGTAATGTATAATCAATGCAAGGATGTTCAGTATATATCATCCAGTAAATTAGAGTTCAAATATATCAATATTAATTTTTTTATAATATATATATATATATATATATATAATATATATATTGGAATATAGAAAATTGATAAAAGATATATTTCGGCGATTTAAAAATTTTTTAATATATTGAAAATATTTTTACTACATACACTATATATAAGTGTAAAATAATTCAGAAAATAAATTTAATAAAAATCTACATACCAGCTGTGTGCATGTGTGCAATTGATTTATTACTTGAAATTTATTTACGAAATTATTTTGCATTTATATATTTATAGTGTGTGTAGTTGTAAAATAATTAAAATATTTTCAATATCAAATTTTTAAGTTTATCGCCTATATAAAAATATATTTCTATGATTTTCTATATTTCAATATATTATAAAAAAATTGATATTAATATATTTGAACTCAAGTTTTTTACGTGATTAAATATTCTTGCATTGAGCCATCATACGTTACTCGTAAGTTTTTTCACGTCATAAGTACTTATGTAGCAGAGAGAAAGAAATGAGAGTTATACGCAATGTAACATCAATAATCGGAAAAAATCAAGATAACGGTTGTCATATCTGTGTATATATATATATATATATATATATATATATATATATATATATATATATAACTTATATATTATATATATATATATAATATTTCATTTATTTATAAAATACATTTTCAATTCATATTAAACCTGAGTGATATTTTCTATATGCTTATGCTATCCTCCGATCTATCCCTAACAAATTAAGAGGTGTAATTGCATTATTATCATCAATTATTATCTTATACTTTTTACCTCTAATTTCTATAAAATTTAATTCATTATCATTTTATCCTTTAAATCAATATTTATTTTGAATTTTCATTAATATTTTTATTCTATTAACATGAGCAGGAGCTCAACCTATTGAAATACCTTTTATCATTATTAGACAAATTTTATCATTATGTTACTTTCTTTATTTTATCTTATTACCTTTCCTAATAAAAATTTGAGATTTAATTATTTTTAAATAAATATTAAAAAATTTATCATTATAAATAAATTTAAAATATTAAAAATAATTATATTTAATACTTAAATTTTTTATAAATTACTATTAAATTAAGGTAATGATCTTGAATTTAAGTTTATGTTTTGAAAACATATTAAAGAAATTTTAATTTTTTATTAACTTTTAAACATTTAATTTTTTTTACTAAATTATTATTTATAATATAAATTTAAATCCAAAAATTAATAAAATATAAACTAAAATTATTGGTAAAATAATTTTCCAACATAAATATATTAATTCATCATATCGTATTCGAAGAAGTATTCCATGTATAAAAATTACTATTCTACATAAAATATTAATTAAAATAAAAGTTAAAATTATTGAATATTTTAATAAATTTCTAAATATATAAATTCTAATTAATCTAAAAAAAATAATTATTCGATATTCAGATAAAAAAATTAATGTAAACCCACCCCTAAAATATTCAATATTAAACCCTGAAACTAATTCTGACTCACCTTCGATAAAATCTATAGGACTTCGATTTAATTCAGCTAAAATCCTAATAAAAAATATAATAAACAAAGGATATAAAACTACTATATATCATAAATAAAATTGATAATTAATAAAATCAAAAAAAGAATATCTCTCTCTTATTAATATAATAACTAAAACAATTAAAATAAATCTTACTTTAAATGATAATATTTGTGAAACTGATCGTATTGCCCCTATTTTTGAATAAATCGAATTAGCTGATCATCCCATAAAAATTATAACATACCCTCTAATAGTTATAAAACAATTATTAATAAAATAGAATAATTTAAAAAATAAATATTAGTAATGTAAGGAAATACTAATCATATTATTATTAAAACAAATCTAATTATAGGACATAAAAAAATTATAATTAGATTTATATACATAAAATAATTCTTTATTAAGTAATTTAATAGCATCACTAAAAGATTGAAATAATCTTATAAATCCCACCTTATTAGGTTCTTTACGAATTTGTACATATCTTAAAATTTTTCGTTCCAATAAAGTTAAAAAAGCTACCCCAACTAATATAATTAATAACAAAATAACAATCTTAATATATTTAACGCACTATAAAAATATAATCTTAAATTTTGACAAATTATTACTTGTATAATTTTTTTCTATTATACATCATTTAAATTCTAAATTTAATACACTTAAATTCTGCTAAAGTAATTTTATTTATTTACATATATTTAATCAATTAAATTTATTCATTAAAAAAAATATAATTTGAAAAAAAGTCCTTTCGTACAAAATTTCTTAATTTTATTTAATTAATTAATTTATTTTAAATTTTCATTTACATTACTTATATCTATAATATTTATTTAATTTTTTTTAATACTTCAACAATTCAAAAACTAACTCTATTTAATTTTTTATTATAATTTTATTTAATTAAAATAATCACACACACAAATCATATTAAATTTTTCATAAATATTTAAATTTAATTTTTTTTAATTTTAATAAATCATATTAAATCATTAATCTTTTCAATGTAAATAAAATATTTTTAAATAAACTAAAATTTTTTTTATTTTAAATACATTTTCCAATATATTTACTTTGTTACGACTTTTCTTACAAATCATAATTAATAAGAACGGCGGGCAATTTGTACATAATTTAAATATAATTCAACTTATAAATTTTTATAAATTTACATTTAAATCCTTTTTAAATAATAAATTTAAATATAATTTACAAAAAAAATATTTTTCAATATAACTCATCTAAATCTTAATAATTCTACATTTTGATTTGAATTTAATTTATAATATAAATTTATAATTAAAATCTCTTAATTTAATTTTCAACAATATATAAAATATTTATATTAAGTTAATCCATTTGTGGATTATCAAATTAATCAACAAGTTTTTCTAATATAATAAATTACCGCCAAATTTTTTTATTTTTAATGCTTTACATTTAATATTTAATTAATTTTATTTTTATTTAAATAATAGGGTATCTAATCCTAATTTCTTTTTAAACTTAATTAGAAATAAATTTTCCAAAATAATTTTTTTTATTAACTAAAATTATTACATTTCACTATAAATAAAATTAAAAAAAAATATTTAAATCTCCTTTTTATATTCTTTAAATTATTAAAATTATTTATTCTTATCATCAGTTTAACCGCAATTGCTGGCACCTAAATTTATTAATAATATAAATAAAATTATCTATTATAATTTTTATTAAAATAATTATTTTAAATATTAATTAATCATTAAAAATTATTTAAATTTTTAAAAATTTTTTTATAAAAATTTATTTATATTCAAATTTTATAATTAATTTATAGAAAAAAAATTATTTCCCTACCTTATTCACTAATTTATCATATTTATCTAATTCATTTATTTTTTAATCAATATATAATTTAAATTAATATTAAATTTAATAAACATTTAATTTATATATTGACTAAAAAATAAATATGACATTTCCTACCACATTCACTAATTTATCATATTTATCTAATTCATTAATTTTTTTATTTATTTATAAAATACATTTTATAAATAAGTAAAATATTATACAGACAATTTATTACATAAATTTTTTTATAAATATAATAAATTATTTATTATATATATTTTTATTTAATTATTTATATAATAATTATATTTTAATATAAATTACGCACACGGATAAGAAATATTTTACATTTGCTCATCCCATATAAAAATATAAAAGTAATGGAAATTAAATTTTACATTAATTTATACTAGTATTATGAGGTAGTTAATACATGAAAATCATATAAGATGAATTCTGTACATCGATTAGCATAATATGATCACAAGTCAATAAATGATTTTGCTAATATATTATTTTGAATAAAAATTAAAAAAATATAAAAACAAAAAGAATGAAATTAATAAATTTTCTTCATTCTTTGTTTTCTTCTTCTATTAATTATTTTTTCTATTATTTGAATAAAAGATGTATCATGTGTAATAGATTAAATAGATAGATAATTTATATAAATATATAATTATACGTTTTGAAATTTATATATATATATATATATATATATATATATATTAATTTCAATATATACATATATTAAATTATTATTTATCTATTACATACGATACGCCTTTTATTCAAATAATAGAAAAAATAATAGAAAAAAACAAAGAATGAATAAAATTTATTCATTTTATTTTTATTTGTTTTTATAAAATTTTTATTCAAAATAATATATTAGCAAAATCATTTATTGCGACTTGTAATCATAATATTACGCTAATCGATGTACAGCATTTATCTTATAAGATTTCCATATGTGTTACTACCTCACAATACTATTATAAATAAATGTGAAATTTAATTTG